CTTACGCGCGTAAGACAGCCCGATGCATGCTTATTCGCGGATCTTTGTTAATTAAAATCTCAGTAACTATTGCGAATCTAGCAAAATGGTATAGGACTTTTCACCTCAGTTTTATTCCGTCTACCTGCCTACGAGAGATGTTAAACCAATTCTGGGACACCCTGTATATATATATATATACAGGGTGAGTCATCTGAATCTATCACCTCCAATAACTTGTTTGTGTGGCCAGGAATCGAAAAAAAGTTTCATATAAAAGTTGTAGGGTTTCGAAAGGGAACCAAAATGGCGTACCTTTCAACTTTTGATTGTGACCAAAAGTGGGTTAGGTGGAAAAAGCGGAAAATTTTACGTTCAGATATAACCTAGGCTGTTTTAAAATTTTCAAGATGGCGAACGAAGATTGCGGACAAAAAGTTTAGTCAACCGATTTGCACCAAATTAAGTTTACGAGGGTTTTTAGGGTTGCTGATCACGAATCTGAAGTCAGATTTGCTAAATTCAAAATGGCGGATTTAAGATGGCGGACGAAAGTTTTAGCCAAAATTAATAGAAATTACTACTCTTAGCACTACCCAGGAACACCGGCGTAGACGTGGTAGTTTTTTGTTCCCTTTGGGGTGCTTTATTTACGTGAGTCCCCTTGCCTCTCACTATTAGGGTGCTTTATTTAGTTAATTTGTAACTTCAAAGTAGTACACTTAGCAAATTAACTGTTCAAAATTCCGTCCATTTTCTTGAATGCATAAGTCGATACCATCATGAATATGATGTTAATGATAATCGTGGTATAATTCCACCAACTCACGTGTACAAAATTTGGTGAAAATCGGTTGACTTTCAGACATTCATAGTTATGCGCGACTAGTTCGTATGTAGCTCTTCCGCTAGGTTGCTATGACGATGACTATCATCCTGCAATCATAAAGCAGACGTGAATGCTTAAATAGCAACGATATCTCCGCTTATTTGTATCTATTAAGAAATCAATACTTTTAGAACTCAGGTAATTTCTTATCTTTAATATGACAGCCTATTCACCAAACGAAATCGTGGACATGATCAAAATATTGGGGGAATGTAGAAATAATTTTTCGAGAGCTGAACGTCTGTATGCTCAATGTTATCCTGATAGAAGGCATCCAACTAGGGTAACCATTAAAACCCTTACGCAGAGAGCAAGTGATGGGTTTATGGTTCGCCGATCACAACATCATGAATATGATGTTAATGATAATCGTGTTATAACCATTTTAGCGAAAATTTATCTCGATTGTCATATTAGCACTCGTCAAATCGAAAGAGAAATTGGCATACCTCAGCGAACAGTTGCGAGAATAATAAAGGCGAGAAAATTTCATGCATATCACATAACGTTGACATAACATTTGAATTTTAATGATTACTTACTTTGTGTAAATTTTTGTGAATGGGCTCTACAAATGATCCAACAAGATGAAAACTTTTTCCGGTACGTACTCTTTTCGGATGAGGCAACTTTCAGTAGCAATAGAACTGTAAATAGACATAATTGTCACTACTGGTCCAATGTGAATCCTTATTGGTTTTGTTCAACTAATTTCCAAAATCGTTAGTCTTTAATGGTCTGGTGTGGCATCGTAAATGGCTATTTAATAGGTCCTTATTTTTTTGAAGAAAACGTTAACGGACAAAACTTTTTCAGTTTTTTCGAAACGATTTACCGCAACTATTGGAAGACGTTGATTTATTCACCAGAGAACGGATGTGGCTTCAATTGGATGGTGCGCCAGCACATTATTCAAATATTGTAAGAAATTATTTGAATAACCGATACAATGGTAGGTGGATTGGGAGATTGGGCGCAGTCGCGTGGCTTCCTCGTTCGCCAGATTTAACTTCTCCCGATTTTTTCCTGTGGGGAATGCTGAAAAATATTGTCTATAGCGAAAAACCAACAACCAAGGAGAATGTGAAGGAACGTATTCGGACTGCTTGTGCCGCAATATCTCAAGAAATTCTTTTGAGAACAGTCACATCATTCAGAAGGCGTATCGACCTATGGATTCAAGAAAATGGACGGAATTTCGAACAGTTAATTTGCTAAGTGTACTATTTAGCGAATTAACTGTTTGAAGTTACAAATTAACTAAATAAAGCACCCCGATAGTGAGAGGCAAGGGGACTCACGTAAATAAAGCACCCCGATAGTGAGAGGCAAGGGAACTCACGTAAATAAAGCACCCCGATAGTGAGAGGCAAGGGGACTTACGTAAATAAAGCACCCCGATAGTGAGAGGCAAGGGGACTCACGTAAATAAAGCACCCCGATAGTGAGAAGCAAGGGGACTCACGTAAATAAAGCACCTTAAAGGGAACAAAAAACTACCACGTCCACGCCGTTGTTCCTGGGTAGTGCTAAGAGTAGTAATTTCTATTAATTTTGGCTAAAAATTTCGTCCGCCATCTTGGTCCGCCGTTTTGGATCTGTCATTTTAAAGTTTGCAAATCTGACTTCAGATTCGTGATCAGCAACCCCAAAAACCCTCGTAAACTTAATTTGGTGCAAATCGGTTGACTAAACTTTTTGTCCGCAATCTTCGTTCGCCATCTTGAAAATTTTAAAACAGTCAAGGTTATGTCTGAACGTACAATTTTCCGCTTTTTCATTTTCCGGTGTCAAAAAGGGAGGTTTCCATTTTAAATAAACCACTTCCGGTTGAAGTAACCTACTTTTGGTCAAAATCAAAAGTTGAAAGGTACGCCATTTTGGTTCCCCCTCGGAACGCTACAACTTTTATATGAAACTTTTTTCGATTCCTGGCCACACAAACGAGTTATTGGAGGTGATATATTCAGATGACTCACCCTGTATATATATATATATACTATAATAAACTGTACTATAATAGTACAGTTTTACATAAGTTTTACATAATATTTGTTATGCAAATCGAAGTTCATCTTACACGATAAGTACTTTATTATTTAAATAAAAGAAATAAAGAAATAGCAATAACAAGTTAACACCTGATGTTCGGGTACAGTTCTTTTATAATTAGAAGATGTAAAAAAAGTTTTAACAAACGTTTCGATTCCCTATGGAATCTTCTTCAGGGTTTTAATAAAAACTTACACAAAATAATGATCTATTCAAGATCATGAAGAATATGGATAAGAAAAAATACGCTACATAGATATTTGGTATGAAAAAAAGAGAGGCGGAAAAGGCAGTAACGTAACCGTCAGTATTACGCAACAGGACGCAAAACGTCCTCCCGCCAGAGATGCAAGATCGAGTAGAGAGCAACGAGAGATGGAAGCGGTGGGGACACGCACACAAGCGTGAACCACCGTTCGTGTGTGCGCACACCTTTTTTCTCTTCTTTTTGAATCTCCAACTTTCCAAAGTATTGCAGGCGAGTTTCTGGACATTCTGACACACACACACGCGCGCCCGTATAAATCTGCTTTAATCTTTTTAAAAATTTTAATCTCAATTAGCAATATATCAAAATATATATTTTGTATGAAAAAAGGTACTTTTTTAATAAATGTTATACATTAGGTTTTTACTTGTGCAAATATATTTATTAGGAAATTTAATTTTCTAAAAAAAGTATGTTTCTTGTGAGTTTTGGAGTTTATAGCAGTGTGACAAAGTGTAAAGTTTCATATTTTTTTTAGAATATGGCTCAACGTTGAATTCATCTTCTTCAAACATATATGTCAAGTCTTCGTGTAATGATGCTAATAATAGTAATCAATTGAATTGTAAGTACGAAGACGGTGAAACAGAAAGTAGAAACATGGCTGAGAACATATTTGCTTCCCACAATGCAATTCTTGATGTAGACATGCATTGGGAAATGAATTATCACGAAGCTGCAATATATTTACAGGTATACTCGCATAGTACAATAATTATAGATAGGTAACTCTTATATAACGCGGTACTAGAACAACGTGGTTTTGATATAACGCAGTTTATAAATTATAGTAGAATAGAAACTAACTCTAAGTTTTTAATATGCGCGCTTATGCGAGCCTCGTATAATCGCGATTTATATAACGCAGCATTTCTGTGTCAACGGAATATTCGCATTGCGAGGATTACTTATGTACATAAGAAACTTTGGTAATTATGCAGTTATACGGACTATTTTCCGATCTCAACAATTTTGACATATGTTATCAAGGTCACCTCCCTGAATAATAATATGAAGGTTTTATCCGTCGCTCATTGTTTATAAAAAA